TTGTCATTACATGAAAAGCGGCGTATGGTCACTAAGTTTTGTTTGTTTGTTTGTTTGTGTCATTTTACGCCTTTTTCCAACAGTATTTCAGTCATATAGGCGGGTAGTTTCCTAACCATCGTTCCTGGAGAGTTACACCAGTACTTGACTACCTTCCTCCGCGCTAAACTACCAAAGCATCTCCCGGGGATCGAACCCACGCCAGAGAGGTAACTGGATTAGAAGTCATTGACTCTAACCACTCGACCACGGAGGCGGTTATGGTCACTAAGTAAAATAATACAAATGTATGTGTGTCATAACGGATATAAACAAAAAAGGAAATTTGAAAAGGGATAAGAGGTTATAAAGCCTGCATATCACAGACCAGACTTCAAACGACAACTTTGAGAAGCAGGCCACATATATTAAGGGTGATGAAACAGTATTCAAGTGGGAATACTGGAAAAACCCGAATGAAACTCGGCAGAAAAAAATAATCAAATACTACAAGCACAACAAAAATGACGTACTGAACGGTAGTTAAGGATCGAAAATATAACATTCTTGCTTGAATGTACCGGGCGACTTTTTACAGCCTCCACACTGGTGCTGCAACCTCATCAATTTTAAACAAAAAAGTTTAATGACTACGAGCTTGAAAAACAATAATACACAATATACAAATTTATTACCACTCACTTTTTTTCGTAATTTTAATTTCCCATAGCCCTCTGGGAGGTATTCTTAATTTTAAAAAGGTAACAGTAGTTTTTAACAGTATAAAATCTGGTCACGTGGTCCATTCTCTAAATAAAATGAAACAAAATGGCTGCCATTTTTTTCTCGATTCAATTTTATTTTCGACGTTTACCATGAAAGGACATCGCCATCTTCTCTGAAGTAACTATTACACCCATAATATTTAATTGTTTGCACCCTGGAGTGATTTTGGCGTATGAAATATCTTTTTGTTGAATAGTCAAAAAGTAAACATCCGTTTTCAACGAAAGTAATTGCAAAGTAAATAATTATGTGTCGAACTGGAACATGCAGACGATTTAAGCATGCAACAAAGGATTATTTAACAAATTTAATCAGCGGAACGTTACAGATATGGTGGACAGACAAAGGATATCATGGTTATTTGTCAAAAACCATGCGAATAATATTTAGGAAACAGGAGGATCAGATTTCACAGATCATAACAGTATAAATTGATTTGTTTTCTTAATAAAACACATTTTATTGTACGTTTATGACTAGTACATATAATCACTTGCTTGCTTAAAGAATAAAAGAAAAAGAAAACTTCTCAAATAGGCCTAAAGTACACTTACAACTTAAAAGGTAACAACAGTTCAGTTATTGTTAGATCTACTCTTGGTTTAGTAAGTGATTTGTTTTCTTAATAAAACACAGCTTATTGTACGTTTATGACTAGTAGATATAATCACTTGCTTGCTTAAAGAATAAAAGAAAGAGAAAACTTCTCAAATAGGCCTTAAGTACATTAAATTTTACAACTTAAAAGGCAACGACAGTTCAGTTATTGTTAGATCTATTCTTGGTTTATTTTTGTTACAATTAGATTTAGTTAACAATTTCAGATCATCACAGTATTTTTGGGGGGTAATAAAATAAATAACACATGAGTTTGTGAGTAACAGTAAAAACATCATCCCTCAGAATAATACACCTCGGGTCACGAACTCATGTGTTATTTATATAATAACCTGTGAAAGAAATATCAATAATTATAACTGAATGTGTACAATTACTGCACCTGAAATTCAATAAATAGTATTCATATATAACCTTGCCATCACCATAAGATATTTTGCTTGAGGAATTTGTCAACAAATTATATATAGACTGGCTCGCTCCTATATTACTCATGTCTGCGACTTTCCGACCTAAATTGACGTCACCCCCACTGTCCAGATACCGTGGCTTCTGAAATATCATACTGGCTCTAATGCTAAAGGGTATAATAGTTACTACAGGCCCTAGCTAAGGTTTGTGAATTTAATAGATTTCAAGGGAGAAAAGAATCAAAAGTACATATAATAGTAAACTGTTATAATAGTAGTTAATTTTATATACAGAAACACAACAATGCAGCGTTGAGAATTTTATTTTGCTAGAATATATGCATCTTTTCTCGAGAGAGAATAAACACTAAGTGAAGTGGAGAAGGATATAGTCCGCGGGAATTGGAAAGAAAGGAAAAGTTAAAATAAATGTAAAATTTTATCTGAAATATCTAATGTAAAATTCTATCTGAAATATCTTTAATAAAACAAATACAGAAGTGGACATACAAACAAAGTAGTTGACAAAATTGCACAAGCTACAAACATAGTGTAAGTTAGCGGAAATATCCGTGAATTTCCGCTTTTAACATCAATACTTAGCGTAACAAATAAAACGACCGATGACAAGACCCTTACCCTTTACACCTTTATAATTAACACACAATATACCTTGTTTTTATTAACGTATACACGTCAAAGAATACAATTATAGTATAATAAATAGTCCATAAAAAACATTTATTACACTTAAAAGTACACACATTTATTTCATCATATTATCAAAACACCTTGACAGGACAATGGTATTTTTTCATTGTGTACAAAATATCATGCTATTTCAAATTTTTGTTCCTTCGAAATCGGAGTACTTTTGTTAGTTGCATACATGTATTATAATATTAAATAAAAAAAAAACTCTGATCTGCTCCGGCGGTACTTTTGAATGTCTATGATAAAGTAACAAAAGATTATTTAATATTTGTATGATTTCTATATACATTCAGAGTGAAATCCTACACAGCAGGCACCAAGTACTTGAATTACTTCCGTGCGTGACATGCAGATCACCACTTATCTGGAAGTGAGTTTTATTTTTGGATCCCTATATATAACAATAATGTAAAAAACTATTTAGTTTAAAAGTAACAAATGTTTCCTATATTCATTATTAAAAAGTTAACCAATGTCAATTGCTCACCTTTCCCAGTCATTTTTTTGAAATGCTTGTAAGTATCAGATTTTTTTCTTATAACATATTTTGGTTATTTTTAAATTGTTTTCAGAGCCAGCTTTTCGATGAGAAGTTTAAAATGAGCGACCTTTACCAAAAGCCATATAATAAGCTTCGACGTCTGTCCAATGAGCAAGCTGATTATTTGCCTATTATACATATTAATAAGTAATCATCTTTTTAAATGCGATCATAATATCTGCAGATCGTCGGTCTAGGTTTCGTTCTGAGAGCACACATTTTCCGAGCAGATATGATAGAGATATTACATGATTTTTTATGTAATTTCAGGACCTTTGCGAGTCAGAGTTCAGAATCACCACCGCCTATACGAAAACGTACTTGTTCAAATAATAACAAGACCAACAGTCCAGATAACTGGTGCAGATGTAGGTCATTAAATGTCACTAAAATGTTTAGCTAAATCGGTAAAGGGTCAAGGAGTTTTTGCTTTTATGCCAGAAAAATAGCTACAAAACTGCTACAATTTTGGCCTAAAGTACTATGATTTGATGAAGCAGGTGGTAGTATCTAGTAGCTCAACACTATTTTATGTCCGTCAACTTAAGGTCGAGTCATCATTGCCTAAGCCGCACCAATAACTCGAAAACGCTGTCTGACATACAATCCGAAATTTTGATGTGTTTATTGGTTATGACAAGACGATGGTCTCTTATGATTGAAGTCAGTCAAAGGGGTCACTATGGTCTTGACAACAAAGAAAACAACATGAGAAATTTTTAGCCCACAAACCTCATATTTGGTGTACAAGTTGTTCATAACCAATTTTTATAACGTCTGTCTAACTCTACGGTCACTGCGACCTTGACCACAAAAAGCTTATGAATGGAAAAAACATAAGTCCTAAGACTTGATTAGAGCATGACAACTTTTATTTTGACGTCATGTGGTTTAGTTCAAGGTCAATGTGGTTTTAATCGACCGGTCAATCATTAAATAGATTTTTCAACTTATAGTCTTGAGGTTCAGTTGAAAGATTTGCCTAGCTAGAAGACACTTTTTTACGATCTAATTATTTGCTTAAGGTCCTGGTTATGTGTCCTTGACAATAAAACATTTGCTTTAGCCTACAATCACAATTATGTATATTTAATTGTATCATATTTATTGATTTTGTTGCTATCATCTTTTGACTTTTATGTTTGTTGGTCATTAAAAATAAAACCACTGGATCTTAGTGTCGTCAAAGTATATACTTCAACACATTTTGTAACACCAAAGTATTTGAATTAACTACCATATGTCAGATCATTATAATTTATACAGTGAAATACGCAAGCGGTTATCTTTACTCGAAAACACTACTGATTACAATAGCCTGTCGATTGCTAGTTCAGAAAGTGTTTATTGGGGTATTGTTTTTAATCATCCAAAGTTTAAGAAAAATTTTGTTCATTTGTTTAAATGTTCCCTTCTTGTCTTTGTTATGAAATGAGGAAATTAAATATAACCTCTTTAACATGTGTTCGAAGTCACAATATGCTTTCCATATTGGGGTCATAGTGTAAATGTTAACAGTCCCGATCTTTGAAAACGTTTGAAAATAAAAAAGGCTATACAATATTTTAAAATGACTTCTTATTGTAGTTATACAGAATTTAATAACCTGTGTTTACATAATGTCTGAAGAAATAAATTTTACTTTGGTCAATATAAATGGTTCATTCTGATATAGCCGGTTCTAAGTTCGGCACTTTACATAACAAACTTTGATGTATACTCACCGGCTTTTTGTCCCTACAGCAGAGGAACCACAATATTGCTATATATATATATACATCATATTTTTGACTTGTCAATATTTTTGCAAACCCTGTCTTTCTTAAGTTTTCCATTTTTGTTTTAATTTCATTTATCATTTAAGTTCAAAATAATCCTCTAGGTGTGTAGGGGAAAGCCAGTGTCATCTTTCTGAAATGCCACTTTCTCTCATTTGTTTTAATCAGATTTTGTCAAATACCGGATCGGATCCATCATGGTCAGAACTCTACCATCTGGTTTCGTTCCTTCACACTCAGCTGAAAGATTTTGAACAAAACGTTTTTCTTGCTGGTGAGGGAAAAAGAGATTTTCCAGGCTTTGGTACATTTGCATTGAATTTTTTTGTTCGTATGTCGAAGGTTTGTGTTTGGAAAAATTAAAATAGTGATTTGCTAACCCTTTTAAATAGATTATTTCTTTTACCATCTATTTCATTATCCTTGTTATTTATAAACATCAGTGATAATATTTCATGTTTTTGTTGTAGACATTCGAGTTTACTTTTGTACGTTTTATAGAGATAAATAATGCCTTACAAATAAATTTTGAAATAACAGTTTTACAAACGGTTTATATTGAACTTCATTAATATATCAAATAACGATATGAATTGTTTCAACCATGATTATTGATCTTTAATAGCTAAAGAAGGCCAATATTGACGACAAATGTAAAATAAGGACTATAGAGCTTGTTTTGTCTTTGTCCTTAGGAGTTTTCTTCAAGATCTCTCAACATGAGCAAAGTGTTGAGGACATAAACTCAATTGAAGCTTATACAATGGAGCATGCGTGGGAAAGCAGGTTTAAACTACAAAATTTCTAAATGTTCCTTGTTCATATTTAAATGTGTACGTGATTGCAATAATATTTTACACAAACCATTATTTTAAGAATGTTAACAATAAAAGGAACATGCTAGTATATTACCTACACAATTATTATTTACGCAATGAGAAAGGGATGAATAAAAGGTAAACTTCCGAGTGATAAAGTATCAGTTTATTTTTTTTTCTTTTCCAGACATCACTCTTACATCTAATTCAACGCGGATCACCAAACATTTACTTTTATAGGACTCTACATTGAGCCAAAGACTAAGAACCTGATTGACGCAAAAACGAAACTTATACTGGAAGAAGAAATTATTTCAGGAAGATTATATTATGCTTTTACACGCAATGGTGTTCCTATAATAGATTCGTTTGATTGAAGTTTAAGGTAAATTTAAGATAGTCTGAGAAAAATGACCACAATGCGATCCACATTTAATCACATATACGTACCTTTAACGTGTATTTATAGTTCACTCTGCCTCTTTCTGTTCTTTTCATCCATTCATCTTCGAGAAAGTTTCAAAGTTTTGCTCTACTGACCATTCTGCACAATATCTATTAAGTAAAATCGTTAAAGGAAATTAAGCTGTCAAAATGGCAGTTTCCAAACATGGGGAATTAAGTTCCTGGTATGGTCGATTCTGTTATGGTTAAAAAATTAAAACACTATAAATAATGCGCAATTTCTGTATGTAAACAATCAAATTTAATTAAAATTTTAATGAATGATTGTAGTAAGGTCGGTTTTACCACAGTATGTACACGTTATTTACCAGTTAACAGATTTCAGGAAACAGTCCTAGGCCAAATGTTGTCTGCAAAATGGTAGACCGGTTTTACAGACTGACAACTATCACATTTCTAACTTACGCATGTGGGAGATAGGGCGTCATACATTATCTCTATATATTAGTCCTTTGCGCACAATAAGATCAGTAGGGTTAGCAATTTTGAAGAATATTTTTCAAAATGCTTAAACAATGTGTTAATATTCCTTTAAATGCTTATAAAAATCAGCTGAAGCACGAATGGTCTTCTCCTGCAACAATTTCTACAAAATGACTTGCCTCAGGAGTTCGACTTCAAGACCGACCGATTTTTTTGCAACAGATGTGTATGTCTTTACGAAAGGCGGCCGTCGTATATAACAAAAAGCCCTGACCAACAATATGTTGGTCAATAAATTTAAAAGCACAGCTGTGCCAGAAAAAATGTATGAAAGTAGTAATTCAGGAGTTGTTGCGTGTTCACCATAATGAAATTTTATTTTCTCCTATAAGAGTAATTCCTGAAAGAATTCATCATCTCCTCCTGTTGGATTAAAATTCAATACGTCTGCTTTGACCTTTCGGTGTTCTAACACCCTGTGTGCCGTAAATTATACATATGAGGCTATTCTGTTTAATTTAACAATTAAATGTAATCGTCCATTTAGTTATTAGCAGGTTTTTGGAAAATAGTCACAAATTTACTTCGTTGTCCTAAATTTTAACGACATGACATTGACAAGTAAGTAAGTTACATGAAACGGATCGACAAAAAGAAAGAAAGGGACAGAGTGAAATATACGCCGGTTATAATTAACATATGCATATAATTAAAAATATATACAAATTAAGTGAAGCGGTCGCTTACGCTTCCTTGCACTTTATTTGTATATAATTCTAATATATGAACTATAACATATACAAACTGGTTTTAAGCGGGTGACAATCATCTAACATATAGGATTAATTTGTAAAAACGAAATGAAATAAGTTATTTTAATTAAACATTTGTGTAATTTTCATTTTATTTGTTTCCGGTAAACAAGCTAATAAATAGGTAGATAGGGAGGGATAATATTACAATAAATCGGGCAAGTAGACAAGTATATAGGTTAGGTGGTAGGTATATTGGATGATAAATGTAAAATATTTATGTTCCTCATATTACTTGTTAACGTTTGATATTCTTACTTTTAAAACATAAAACTCAGCTATATTCATATGAGCTTAATATTTTTAGAAAATATAAAATAGAACGCCTGTGAGCTGTTATGGGAATTGCCTTCACGAAAGACCCTGATGGAACATACGAGTTAACAACAGATAACGTGAAAAAAATGATTGTCATTTATATGCTATTAAGGTAAGTTTGTTGCATGATCTGCTTGTAGACAAATGATTTAGTTTGGTTTTAAGTTACAATAACACTTTAAAAGTCATATTAACACCTACTGGTAATTTGCTTTGGTTATAAATTCCGTTTGCATTATATAAAGTATTTGCTTTGTTCTCTTCATAAAATTTCTTTTTTAGAATGTCTTGATATATATCTTTCTTAAGTCACAGCCGTTGAGATAATGTTTAGCCTATGCTCATATTTTAAATTAGCAGGAATCTGGCGGCTTGCTTTTTTTAAAAGCCGCTATGCTAGCCTTAGTATTAATATGTGTTTCTAGAAGTTCAGATTCATATTGAATGTTGTAAGCCCGAATAATGATGTTACATTTTTTGTTATGTTTTGTTTTAGTATACCTTTTTATTAAGTTTGCGAAATTTGAACATTATGTTTTGGTGCATGGAAAATACGCATTGCACGACTTTACAATTTGAAAATTAAGAAATATTATGCATTGATAAAGGTACAGTTTATTTAAATAACTGCCAAAAGTTAGAACCAACTCATGCAGCATGAGGTATGATAAATAAACAAAATTAAAGAATAAAGGTTTCCTGCAACCTCGCGATTTTAACTTACTGCTAGGCAATCTTGCAGTTATGAACGATTAAAGTGTCGAGAACTACACTTTCATTAAAAACCATAAGTCGTTAAAGACATACGTAAATTAACATCTTAGGTTAATATTGCCAAACAAAAGATACATTTTCTAATGATGGAAACAAAAAAGGAACAGACAAATGCAATGTAGTTGTCAGAAATTTGATCCTAAAAGGGTAAAAGTCAGTTAAGATGATGAAAGAATTATTCATTACTTGGTAATTAATGAAATGAACGACAATTGCACGACATGGATACTTCTAAATAATGTACCCGATGAACTAAATAGAGTCATGAATGTTTCTTATAAATACATCTCATTTTCTATGATAAAATAACAATAGCATTAGTATTACTGATTCTAATTATGAACATATTTGACAAATTTGAATATTGGTAACTTTATGTTTCATTTTAAGGAACATGTGTTGAAAGCTGTGCGTTTTATTCCAAGTATACTAAAACTACAGAGATGTATACTGCATCACTCATGTTCGGTGTCTTACCTATCGGACAATCAAATTAAAACTGTTGGCCAGATGAAGCAAGGTTAATTCTTTTACTGTCAACAATAAAAAATTCTTGATTTGTTAAGTGATTTTATATAAAGGCATTTCATTTGGATTAGAGCTTATTTTCAAATAAACATATATACATAATATACTAGTAAAGTAACTCCGAAAAAAATTCAATATATAATGTAGTCAAAAGTAAAACTTAACAATTTTACTGTGTAAAAAGGTTAAAGTTAACAAGCAAGTTATTTGGAAATTTAATAGATTATGTATTGTCTATTAGAACAAATTGCGGGAGAAGAAACTGAAAATCTCTTCAAAGACGCAGCTGAAGCTTGGGAAATTGCAAGGGGTGTCATAAAAGACGGGAAAGGTATTCAAAGTATTTCAAATAAAATGTAGAGGCGAAAAAAATAGTCACTATGTTTTTTGTTTCTTCAATATGTTTACTTCGTTAAAGTCTTTTTTAATGTACGTATGAAAATGAAGAAGGGCGTGATTTAAGTACTCAAAATACCGTAACATTTGACTCTTACCTTCAATACGCATCTTTTTAACCTTATTTATATTAAAGTTACTTTTCACAAGGTAAAAACACCATGTCTTGTTTAAAAATAATGAAGCATTCATTTAAAATATTTAAGTGTTTCACACAAAATATCCGAACGTGGTTTTGTACGGAGAATTTCACTGATGAAAGCCCTGTAGAAACTTTCCTGATCAGTACGGTTGGCGCGGGAATATGCTCATATGCAATGTTAGACTTGTTGATAGATACTCATAATGAGATTTTAGAGGAATATCTGAAAATACTTAAAATATAAGTTGATACTTTAAACTTTCGTTTATTCTTTTTGACAAATAACCATGGGTTACAAGAAATATTTGTATTGATTCAAAGACAACGTACTAATTTGGTATTATTGTTGGGCCATGTGGCACATGATGTTATTAATTGTCCCGATTACCCTTAATTACTTTTGAACTTCTAACAACACTGAAGACTTTTGAGAGTTCCAGTTTTAAATGATAAGTTAATCCGATTGCAGATATATTTCATTTATTTCTAAGTAGATCCAGATGAATTATCATAAAGTACAAATTCAGTATCATATATTAATATTCTGCAATATCATTTTTTTGAAATATAAACCTTTTATAAATGCTGTCTAAACGAACTAAGCACGAACACTTACTTACCGTTACCGCTTAATACCCCGTGATTTATGAAATTTGTAGTTTTTTAATCATACTAGTTACTGGCGTACTCATTGTCTTTGCTTTTTTCTTGACAGACCTCTGTGCCACTTTGAACACTTTCTATGAACAATATTTGTATCACTGTCATTCTTACGACATCATTGATGATCTTTGTCGAAAATTATGTCATTATAAATGTTACTACTCACATAACTGTTATCTCTCAGACTTGACTTATCAACATCGACATAACTCAACGTTGTCATCATCGACCTTTTCGTCATCGATGGCACTATCATTGACATCGATATTCATAGGAATTACGCTTTTGACGTTAGTACACGTAAAAGGTCATTCATTTATTTCACTATCGGTTTCATGGTTACACGCATTCTCATCTACCAACCTGTTTAAAGTCAAAGTTGCTTATTACAATCATACTTTTTGCTATGCCCATTTCCGTCTGCTCTAACTAGAATGTCAAAAATCTCGTCGACAGATAAAAAGTGTTCATAATGACTTTTGTTACGCGTCGCAAAAAGGCTGGCTGTTCTTGCTGCATCACGAGCATATTTATGACAATATATATAATTTTCAAGTAGATAGCCACTTCGAATGAGATACGTTAAACAGTTTTTAACACTACACTTCTAATGCTTGATATTCAAATGTTTTCATTACATGCCTTTTCCAATTGCGTGAGTATTTATATTTTTTACCTCAGTAATCAGAACAATTAATAACTATTAGCTATAATGATAAATTATTAAGTTTTATTTCATGCTTTTCAGTGGATTTCTGTGATCCGTAAAAATTATATTTGATAATTTCACAGTGAAAAATATCAAAATATAATTTCACACCTTTTAATGACGAAAATACTTTTTTAAGATTTTCCCCA